CATGGTCTTTCAAAACCTAAAAACAGAGAACCAGATGATTTTTTTTCTCTCTGTTACTTAAAATGATATCTTCAAGGCAAGGTCATGCATTGCACAGAGTTGTCCTTGAAAGAAGGAAATGCAGTACAAACACCTGTAGTACAAACGAATGGTCTGATCTTCCTAGGCATGATTAATCAGTCCCTTCTTTTCTGTGTTTCTTTCTGTCAGCTCAGCTGTACTCCTCTTGTCTTCAATTCTGTACCCTAAGTAGTCGATGCTGCTGCATTGAATGCTAAGCTTCATGAGATACAGGAGCTGTAATGCTTTTACATGGATTGTATGGTAGAGGGGCATCTGCACTTCAGGAGGAAACTTGACATAAAAGCTGATGCTATAGTTTCTTTTGTCTGAAACAACATACAGACTGAAACATAGACCTTTGCGGAGCTCAGTGTGTCCTGGGTTTTTGCAGCTTTGCGTGTCTCCCAGATTTGTAGTGCCTTTTGTCCCTTCTATAGTGTCCTGTCTCCATCCTCATCCCAGCCCCATCAAAACCAGAACATATCTCTAAGTGTTTTCCTCAATAAGAGTTGTTGGTGTAGATTCAGGATGGAGTTTCAGGGGAACAGTATCGATTAAGCTACAACATCTTTGCCACGTACCTTCTCAAAGGCTGGGAAGTATCTGTTTGTGGCCTTGTCCACCATATTAGCAAAATGTTGCTCCTTCTTATCTGCTGGTTGGTAACCATAGGACATGAGTTGCTCATTCAGATCAAACATTCCTTCCACATACATGTCGATTCTGAAAGGAATAGATCCAGTTGGTCAAGTCAAACACAGTAGGTCTGAATGCCACAATAGCTACTGGCATAACCTTGCTAAGGTGCTGGGAAATCTCCACCTTTTCTATCTCATATGTATAGCTTGGAGTATGGCCAATCTTAGCGAACAAAGATTTAGAAAAGGTATTTACCCTTCGAGCCTGCGCAATGGATTTTTTAGGTGAGACACAGTGTGCGCTGAACTGAGCCCACCCTTTTAATCCTAAAGTTCATCTGCCGGGGCCAAGCGAGCTTGGACAGGCGGCAGTGAGGTCCTTAGGGTGTAGGCTGGTTTAGAGTGACATCTCTTAGATGGATGGCCTTACAGGGCTGACGAGCTCCATCTGCCCCAGGGGAGTTCGCTGACTGGGAATCGAACCCGGGCTGAAGCAGTGAGAGTCCTGCATCCTAACCACTAGACCACCAGGGGGCCCCATAGCTTGGAGTAGTTCCCTCCAGAATGCAGTTGCATCAAGGGATAGAGGAGGAGCTTGGTTGAAAGACAAATGCAAAGTGCCTAAGCCAAACCTAAACACTGTCCCCCTTCCACTTCCCACTAGGGGTGATACTTCTCTGTACCATGTGGGGTTTTTTTGTTGGGGTTTTTTTGTTGTTTTTTGGGGGTTTTTTGAACCTGAGTACAAAATTGGCAGGTGTGTCATCCAAACTTGTGTAAAAATCCAATCA